GTCCTCCCCGCCCCCCTAGCGAGCCCTTGGAGGTACCACCTGGGAAGAAGCGGTAGAAGCTCGGAAGCCCCTGGAGGCAAGCTCAAGGCACAAAGGCGACATTCATTGCGGGGCTGGCAGCCGGGTCCTGGGAGCGGGGCCCCAGGTTTCCTTCCATTTCCGGGAGGATTTCCTCTTGCGGGGCCGTGGCACAGATGGAAAGGGCCCTGGACAGCTCCGGAGGGTATTTCGGATGGCCCCTAGCTCTGGTTCCAAGTCGCTCTGTGACCTTGGGCAAAACCTGGCCTTCATCCGTTTGCCCCTTGGTGAACCGAGACCAGGCTGGACCACATGAGGCGGAGGGAGGTCTGGGGGCTGCTGGTGCCTCAGTGGGTAGGAGCGCGGTGGACCCGAGGCCAGCCCTCCCGTCCTGCGCCCCCGCTCCCCAGGCTCGGAGTAAGCCTGGCTTTGCCTTGGCACCTGGGCCGAGGAGGAGGCAACAAGTTGGAGGGCTGCACCCCCTCCCCACCACCTGGATCCCCACTTCTGTGTCGCCTGTGGGAAGAGGGAAGGTTGGCTATTCTTGGAGCCAGAGCCAATGGGGTCCAGTCTGAAGGTCTGCAGGCTCCATAGCAGGGAGGTTTTCCACTGCTGGGAAAGGGCTGGGGGGATAGATGGCTCCAGCCGGGGCAGGGAGGCCGAGGCGCCAGCCTTATGAAATAAGGCTGTGCTCAGGCTGGGCCTCGCCCATCCCAGGGAGGCTGGGCAGGAAGGAAGGTTTCAGATTTTACTGCTGACCTGCAGGGGAAGCCAGGCAGATAGGGATTAGGTGGTGATTAAACTGGAAACCAGGGGCCAGGCAGGGTCCTCAGTAAGTGGAGCCCTCCCTGGGTGAGCAGTTTACCTGGGGGCCTGGGAGTGGTTTGGGGGACGGGATGGTCTGAGTCCTTGGCTGACCGAGGCAAGGGGCAGAGGTGGCTGGTGCTCATTGGCCCCCTCTGCAGCTGCCCTGTGGGTCAGTGACTAGGGAGAGGTGAGTGGCTGGGGGCAGGAGGCATGGGGAGGGCATGGACAGCCAGCGTCCTCACAGGGCAGTGAACAGTTGGAAGTGGGTGTGGCCATCCCTTGGGGTCACTGTCCACTTTCCTTGTTTGGCACTCCCCGCACTTTCCACCTTCCCGGCTTCCCACTGGAACTGTTCCCTCCACCTGGATAGCCCTCCTCCCTCCTCCCACTGCCTGTGATGTCCTTCAAGACCAGCTCAAGTACCATGTTTTAAAATATGAAGTCATATGAGACCACTCTGTTCCTGGCCCAGTCAGAATCAAACTCTTCCTTCCCTCTGCTCTGCCAAGCACATTGCTCTCCATTCCATTACTAACAGGGGCGGAAAACCGTGAAAGAGTGCATGCTCTGGCCTCCGACAGACCCGGGTTTGCATCCAGCTCTGCTGATTACTAGCTGTTTAGCCTTGGGCATGTTACGTGGCCTCTCTGAGCTCTAATTCCTTCATCTGTAAAATGGGGGCAGTAATACCTCTAGGGACTCTGAATGAGGCAAGAAAAAGATAAGTGCCAAGTTCAGTGCTGGGCACATGGGGAATACTTGATAAGTTGAAAGCTTTTATTGTGGCACGCCCCACAGTGTCTACTATCACAGTTGCCGAGAATACGTCCGTGGGCCCACCGCACTGGGTGTGGAAGTTGACACAGCCAGAGAGGAGCAGCGTCTTACTCCCTTCCCACCTCCTTCTGCTCCCCGGTTCCCACTAGCATGACAGACAGAGTGCCCCATGAAGCCCAAATGCTCAGCCAGTGTGCAGAGTTGACTAGTGTTGAAGAGGGTCCAGTAAAGGCCTATGGAGAGTCCTGGGCAGAGGGCAGTCAGGCTGGGACCTGTCACTCACCCAGCTGCCTCTCTCTACAGTTTCGGGAGAATGTCCAGGATGTGCTGCCCACCCTGCCGGATCCTGATGACTATTTTCTCCTGCGCTGGCTCCGAGGTGAGGGAGCAGGGGCTGCAGGAGGCTGGGGCAGGAGCTAGTTCTGGTTAACAGAATAGCACCCCTGGAAACTCTGGACCTGGCAATCTGAGAATCTGTAGCATTCAACCCTTAGGAGCAATTATGTAACCTCACCCCTCCTACTGGATAGATAACACTGAGGCTCAGAGAGGTGAAGTAACGTGCCCTAAGTCACATAGTGCTTGAGCTGCAGGCAAAGAGAGGACAAGAGCCCAGGCTGCCTGAGTTCCAGCCCTGGGTCCTTCCCACCCACTCTGCTGATGGACTTGGGGAAACAGGTTGAGGAAAAGCCAAGAAAGGCCCTAGTCATGTGGGAAGTCGGAGGCAGAGTCAAGTTTAGAACCAGAGTCCTGGCTCCTGGGAGAGGCTGGGCACCTCTGTAGCCTGTTGGGATGGCAGGCCTCCTGCTGCTACCAGCAGTTTAGGCAGCTTGAAGGTGGGGCAGAGTGCATGGGAACATGGGGAGACTCAGCCTGAACTAGGTGAGCAAGACTTCCCTCAAGCCACCGCCAGGCTCCAGAGTCCCGAGTTCTAATTCTACTTCTGCTTCAGTCTGGCTGTGGTGAACATCTGCCCTAGACCCCTCTCTGGGATAGGACGAGACAGGGCAGAGCTCTGGGCATGTGACGCAATGTATACATTTCTATTAGCATCGGGGTCAAACTCAGCCCCAAGCTTCAACTCCTAAAATCTTCATGTTCCTTCTGCCTCCTCTTCTGTGATTCAAGTCACATGTCACCCTCTCTGGTTCTTGTGACACTTTTTTTTTTCTTTATAGAAACTTTATTACTAGGCATAAAAATAATAGAGAATAAATTCCACTTTCTTAGATTAATAGAGATTAAGTTGTGATGTGGAACCATAGTTCAAAAATTAAAAACCAAATCATACCTGATTATTTATTTATAGATACACACACACACATACACACAGAGTATCTTGGGGCAGGCGAAGAACTGGATTTTCCTTTCTGTGCAGAAACTGAAAAAACTGCTGTGCTCTGAGGGACTACTTGCAGGCACCCCAGGGCCGGTGCAGCCAGGAGGGCCACATGGGACTCTGTGAAAGTGTGCCACTGTCCTTTCCCTAAAAAAGCTACAAACCCACAACCCTGGCCTAGCCAGAGAGGGTGGAGGGGCAGTGCGGGGGTGGCAGTGGAATCGGTCCAGGGCTGGAGGGTGTTTTGGCCTAGCAGTTTGCTGAAGGGCTATAGCGAGAAGTGGGTGGGTGGAGAGAGTGGGAAAGCAGCACTGCCTTAAAGGGCCAGTTGTAAGATCATCAAACAAACTGCCAAACTGCCGTTAGGTGGAGAAGTGTGGTTTCAGAGAGCTGCGAACAACAACGCAGCTCTCTTTTATCTAAGAGGAGGCCAGCCTGGGTTCCTGCAGCTGGTTTCCCCGGCACCCCCAACTCCCCAGTCCTGAGATGGCTTCTCTCTTTGCAGGAACATTGCACACTGTGGTCATCCTTGTTTGTCACATGAGAAAACTGAGGCTCAGAGAGGGGAGGACACTTACCTGAAGGCACACAGCTAATGTGAAGCAGAATCAGGGCAGAAATCTGGGGCCCCAGATTCCCAGACCAATATTCTCTCCAGTAAGCCATAGCTGCCCCTGGAGCCAAGCTGTGCCTCTTCGAATAGAGGAAGTATTTCCTCTGTACTTTATTTGTGCCTCACATTTCCTGGGCAGGAGCTCAGGCCTGGCCAGACCTTACTATGAATTTCAATTAGGGTTTTTGTTGTCTCTTTTTTAGAAACCTTTCCTCTTTCTCCTTTTGGCTCTAAAGGAAACATCTGCAAGGTGCATGCCAGTAGAGTGTCTTTTCCTAACCTATGTGTGAGCTGGGGTTCCATTCTTCCTCTCTCCCTACCATGCAGACTCAGTGTTCTCCTGGCCCCAGGCCCTGAGAGCAGACACACCAATGTCCACTGCCTCTCCCTGACCGTGGCTGAGCTTTGGGCGCTGCAGCAAGGAGAGTCAGGTGGCAAGATAAAGACAAGGAAGTGCTGGGAACCCTGTGAGGGGGCAGAGCAAGTCTGAGTCTCATTTTCCAGGCCTAGGAGGTGATCAAATAAGAAACTGGGACAGTTGCACCTTTGTGGGCTTCTCTGACAGTGTCCTAAGCCATACTTTGAGCTGCCCCTGAGCAGGGCAGCAGGAGCCCTGGAGAGGCCTGACTCAGCAGGTGTGGAAAGAGACCAGGCCAGGTGCTGCCAGGGTCAAGTGGCAACTAAGGGAGGGCCCTTGAAGACCCTGGATGTTGGACCCTGGCAGATAAGGGGTAACTGGAGAGCTACGCTGAGATAAGGGGGCTCACAGTTCACTGCCACTCCTGTTCCCTGGGAAGATAAGGTCTCTTCTCACAATTGGGGGTGTCCCTCCAATGGAGGATTCCCACTTTCACAGTCCAGCCAGGCTCCCCATCATGAGAGCACGTTGCCTTGGGTCTTCCACGTGTTTCTAGCTCAGTAGACGATTCTGTCAGAGATGTGCAATATCTTGTTCAAGGTCAAACAGGGATGTGGAAGGGCTGAGCTGCAAACCCGGATTATATTCCTCTAAGAGCTGCCCCCTGCTGCCACAGTGGCACGTAAAGGGGTGTCAGGAGGAATAGCCCAAGAGTGAAGACTGTTCAGTTCTGCAAACGTGTCCAGCGCCCATGCAGGGTGCGGCATGGTCAAATCTCTCGATGCACCCTTTGGACGCATCAAAAGTGGACTGAATTTCATGATAGCAGCGTCAGGGGCACTCCTGGGGAGCCGTGATTGAAGGACCAGTGACAGTCCAGAGGGCAGCCTATGTGGCCCAGGTTCCAGGGCTGTCAGAAAGATCTTGATGTCGATCAAATCCCCAGAGGACATACAGCTGGGAGGGACAGTTAGTTCATAGGTCTGATGACAAAACTGGTCAAAATCTGAATCTTGGAAACTCTTTAAAGGATGCAACGATGCTGACTGTAACAAGATGAAATCTGATAGGGGTGGAGCCAGAAAACCATTTCACAGCAGAGGGGATGAAAGCTTAGCAGCAGGACAGCTGAAAGGGATTTGGGGGTTTCAGTTGACTGTGAGCTCCACCTGAGTTAAGGGTGTGACCAGTGCCAAGGAAGTTCTTAGGCTTTATTGGAGAAAGGTAGACAATATCTGGTGCTGTGCTCAGCTCTGGATGAGGGGCATTGGCAGACTGGAAAACATCCAAGGGAAGTTATTTGGTTGAACTTGAAACCAAGCTGTGAGGAACGGTGAAAGGATACACGGATGGGGAGCGTGAGAGCAGAGGGGACTCACACGGCAGCACAGTCTTTGCCGGTATTGGAAAGGTGGTCACATGGCCGAGGGAGCAGCCCCACTCTCTGTCTCTGGAGTGGATCTCCACTCAGTATAACAGTGAGGGCCGAGGGCAGACGGCAACTCGGATTACCTGGGAGCAGGTGGCTTTGGGGGGCAGTGCGGTGTTTGTGTTCAAGCTTTAGCAGGACAACTTTTTAGGGTTCATGCCTAAAATAAAGTTGGCCTCGGTGACCTTTCATTCTGAAACTTCCCAGGAGCCCTGGGAGGAGGACCCTCTGTGTCCCAATGGGGTCTGCCTGGGAGGACATGGAAAAGTTGGCCGGGACCTCATCCTACTGGATGTTCTGCCAGCTCTACCCCAGATGACAGGGCAGCTATGTTCATCTTTGAACTGTGTGTCAAGATCTCAGGACTGGTTATTAGACTGTGGAAGAGATTAACTTTGTGTAAGGGGAAGGCTAAATGATAAGGCTCGAGTCCAGGGTTCACTTTTCCTGAAGAGATAAGACCCTTCACCTTATTGCACCCACTAGGGTAAAACTCTTTTGACCCTGAGCTGCAGTGCTGCTCCCGCCTGCCCTGAACCTTGACCTGCTCTACAGGGGCTGTGGCGCTCTAGATGCCCGCATATTAGCTTCTACATGTGGGGTAACCTGAGGGGCAGCTGGGGTGTTGGAGAGGAGCTGGCACCAGCATGGGAACAGGGAAAACCTCTGTGCCCTTGGACACCCAGCCTGCTGGCCTAACCCTGCCCACGTCTCCCTGTTACAGCAAGAAGCTTCGACCTGCAGAAGTCCGAGGCCATGCTCCGGAAGGTGAGATCCATTTGCCACCAAATCCCATGGTTGCCTCCGTTTCTGCCCATCAGAGTCTCACGGTGCTTGAACCTCTTTGGCCCATTCCACCTGCCTCCATCACAGCCGATGGCTGGTGTGACATATCTGAGTATTAGCTGGCCGTTACTCCCTCGTCCCTCTGGAAGAAAGTGCATCCCATTCCCTGGAAACACAGAGCTTTCCTAAGTCTGGGCTAGCCAAGAATTAGTGTTCTGCCAAGACCTCTAAAATAGGCAGTGCCTTTTTTTTTTTGCATTCCTGTCAGTTGCCTTCTCATGACTCACCTGTGCATGCTGTCACCTATTGCTAGATGTCTGTTAAGGGGTCCCCCTGTCCCGCTCTCACTTTTTTAAAGCCCTGATTGTATGTTTGCAGCATGTGGAGTTCCGAAAGCAGAAGGACATTGAAAACATCCTGAGCTGGCAGCCTCCAGAGGTGAGGAGAAATGATCCTGGCCCATCCCTCTGTTAAGTCATTGGACCCACAACCTGTGTCCTGGGTCTGTGGGACTGGAACTCTGAGAAGAAAGGTCTGACAATGCCACGTGGGTCCTAATGGTCCCCAGAATGGGTGTCCATTGGCACCCAGGGGAAGGCTGTGGAAGGAGAGACTGGTGAACCCAGAGGAAGGCCCTGGGATACAGGGAAGGTGTAGCCACCCTGGGTCTGCTGACCAGGTGCCGTCTCTGTGTCTTTGCCCAGGTGGTCCAACTGTATCTGTCAGGGGGCATGTGTGGCTACGACATGGAGGGCTCTCCCATCTGGTACGACATCATTGGACCCCTGGATGCCAGGGGTCTGCTCCTCTCAGCCACCAAACAGGACTTGCTGAAGACCAAGATGCGGGACTGCGAGCGGCTTGTGCAGGAGTGTAAAAGCCAGTCCGCGAAGGTGAGTGGACTAGCGCAGTTGAAAATGAGCTAATCACGGTAGAGGCGTTCAAGCAGAAGCAGGGACATCACACAGGGACTCAAACACAGCTTCAGGACTGAGGCCTGGACTTTTGGATTTCATAGGCCAGTGAAATTTCAAAGTTTTAGGGACTGACCTACGTTGCCGAATTTTTATTTTTCCCAGGAAGAACTTTAAAAAAATTGCCAGCTACTATTATCATAATTAACCCCCAAAATTATAGGAATGGCAAAATCTCAGAATAAAAGGCAGTCCTTTAAGAGGAACAAATATAGCTTCATAAAGAACTTACCTATATTACTGTTATTTTTCTCATTTTTCTGGGCACCAGTGAGAACTTTGTCACAGACTGCCCTATCCTTAGACAAGTATGTGGGTATCCCTGGTGTGAATGAGCTAAGAGTCCATGTTTCTCTAACTCTGTATTTTAAAAAACATAAGGACAGCTGATTTCCTTACTGAGAAAAATGCTGAAGAGCAAGCTGGAGCTGCTACCGTGATCTTTTCTCCTTCCTTCCCCTTCAGCAAATGTAAAGATCCAATGAAATGGTGTAGTAAGTTTGGGACCATTTCAACACTCGTCCACAAACACTTGCCGAAAGCCTAGTGTGGGCAGAAACCCTGAAGGCTGGGGAGGCAAAGAAGCATTAGACTGGAATGCACCCTTAAGGGCTTAGGTTGGACAGAGAACATCTCTGTGCGCGAGAGAACTGGCCACACAAAGCCACACGCGCAGAGCACTCCGTGGGGTGCTGCACACAGAGAAAGAGGGAGGCCGCCAGGTCAAACTGCAGAACACAAAGGACCTCCGATGTAACCTAGACCCGCCCAGTGGTTACTGGATGAGCACATGGAGAATTAGGCAGGAAGGATGACTTGCTTGGGTCACAATTTCCAAATGGCAATTATCTCCATTTGCAAAATCCTAGGTACGGCCCTGTACATATCCGGCTGCAATGAGCATAGGACGCAATCAGTGTTTGCCCTGAACTGGGTGGGCTCCTGCATCGGGGCAGCCTGCTGTGACTTTCTGCTCCTCTGTCCCCTGCAGATGGGGAAGAAGGTGGATAGCATCACCATGATTTATGACTGCGAGGGCCTTGGCCTCAAGCATCTCTGGAAGCCTGCTGTGGAGACCTATGGAGAGGTGAGAGGCAGGACTGGGA